TCAGTTTTCTCCACTCGAAAATCGAAACACAGAGATGTCTTCTAGATCATCGCTTCATTCATTACCACCAACAACAAAGATTGATTCACCTCCTGATTCACCTACAGTTTCTTCAATCCCAGATAGTCATGGATCTTCACCTCACACGATTATCCCATCTCCTTCCGTAGCTTCTTCGGTTCCGATGAAGAACGAGACTCCTTTTAGGGTTTCTAACGGAGATTTCGTTGATCAGAAAGTGAGCGAGTCTAGGAGACAGTTGAGGCCGAGCTTCTCTATTACTACTCGTGAATCGAAATGGGGAAATTTGGTTAGGAAATCTTTGCTTGGATTTAGGGTTTCTGCGTTTTTGTCATGTCTCGTTTCTTTCTCTGTTATGGTTGCTGATAGAGATAAAGGATGGGCTCGTGATTCTTTCTACAAATACAAAGAGTTCAGGTTAACTTTACTCTCTAGCTTCTTCACTGTAACATTGAAATTTGAAGCTTTTTTTAATGGAATTAGGGTTCTTTAGATTACTCTGATTTGGTCTAATCACGGTTTGGAATTTGAAGTCTTCTCTTGAAATTAGCCTTGGAAGTCGACAAGTGCAAATACTTTTGGTCAAATTTCTTACTTTCTAGCTTCACTATTCTTTGAGTTTGAATGTTTAGAATCAGATTTTAATAGGAATTAGGGTTCTTAGATGACAATGATTTGGTCTATGCATTGTTTGGATTTGAAGTTTTCTCTTAAAATGTAGTCGATGAGGTCGTGATTCTTTCTGCAAATTCAAATAGTTTAGGTAAAATTCTCTTACTTTTTAGCTTCACTATGCATTGAAGTTGAAGTATCTAAAGATGTTTTAACTATAATCAGAGCAATATGATTCAGTTCAGGGTTCCTCGGTTTTAGGTTTGATTTTCTTATCTGAGCTCAAAGTGTTTAACTAGGTGACTTGAAATTAGCTGTGGAGGTTGTTTACTTCTAATGAAGTTATGTAATGACCCGCTCGAGCTAATGTCTTTAGACTATTTTCTAAACTGCTAATGTTTCCTGTAGATATTTTTTGAGTTGATTTATTCCTTCTTCTTCTTTTTTTGGCATTTTGGCTGCAGGTTCTGTTTGGCTGCGAATTTGATTGGTTTTGTGTACTCAGCTTTTATGATATGTGATCTCGTTTATCTATTATCAACTAGCATCCGAAGATCACGACATAACCTGCGACATTTCTTGGAATTTGGTCTTGATCAAGTATGTTTCTTCTCCCTCTCTGTGATTGAAACTCTGTTTTCTTGTACAGCACAAATGGTAGTAACATGAAAAATTGGAATAATTGAAACTTGACGCGATAGACCTGACTAGAAGGTTCAGCCAGATGTTTTATTAAATCTGATTGGTCTTGTTCTGAGTACCGATAGACTTGGTCCTTGTTAAAGCAATCATTGTCAGTTATGTTCAAACATGCGCTTCATACTAAAGTACTATTTTCCGTGTCACCTTACCCAATCTTTTTTCTTTTTAAAAGCACAAGACCAAAGTTACCATGATATTTCAAAGCATAAACATCTCAAGATGCTTCAAGTCGTAGACTATACTAACCAAAGATGTAATTTGCTTGTGAAATCATTTGAGCTAATTGTTTCTGATTCTTGTGCATAGCTTAGTGTTTGTCTGTGTTTGTTGGCATATCATTGCTGGTACCAGTCAAGTGCGGATCCATTAAACTCTATTCCGCCAAATTCTTGAGAGTTGCAAATGAATTTGATATTGCAGATGATAGCGTATCTTCTTGCATCGGCTTCAACTTCAGCTTCGATCCGTGTAGACGATTGGCTATCAAATTGGGGAGCAGACAAGTTCCCAGACTTAGCTAGAGCATCTGTCTCACTCTCTTTCGTATCATTTGTCTCATTCGCCTTTTGTTCCTTGGCTTCCGGTTATGCACTATGTTCACTCCGGTCCATCTAAACCAAAACAAGCACAAGCTTGAAGGCAAACAATCTCATTTTGCTGATACTTAGTTTACTGTCAAAGTTGTATCATCCCCTAAACTCTCTAACGATGTGTAGGGTCCAGTTTCTGTTTATTTTTGAAAAAGAAAACTTTTATTTTATATGGTGAAGGAT